ATGAAGGGCCTGACCCCTCGTCGGCGCTCCTTCCCGCCGACCCTCACTTGCCGAAGGTGGAGAAGGCGGCGGGGCTGCGCTCCTCGCTGGCCGCGCTCTCGTCGAGGAACTGGAAGCGGGAGTCGATCGTGCGGAGGTCCTCCTGGAGCGACTCGCGGGACCGGGGCTTCGAGACGACAATCCTCGGCGCCTCTGGAGGTGTCGGCAGAGCAGGTCCTTCGACGTGCATGTTCCTGGGGCTCCCTTGCTGGAGGTTCGAGGTCGAGACGCGCCTGTAGCTGTGGATGTTGTTGCGGATGGTCGGGAGGTGCTGCGGCGGAGACAGGGTGTTGAGGCTGTGGAGCGACATGTTCAGGTGCTGACTCGCTCCTTGCAGCCCAGAGCTCAGGGCTTGCGCGGTGGCCTCGGGCATGGAGGACCGCCTGCTGTAGCCCCGCTCGGACACCGTCAGAATCCTGGCGTCGTGTCCTCGCCCGCCGACCCCGAGGACCTCCAGGTTGTCGGAGCGAGGACCGAAATCCCGCACGGTCACCGTCAGCCACATCTTGTCGTCGCCGGGAACCTCCTCCTCCCTGGCCTCCAAGGGCTTCAGCGACACCACCGGCAGGGAGTCCCTGGCGCGAGTCCTGCGCCTCCTCCGCCTCCTGGCCCGGCTCCGGAGGAAGGCCAGCGCCGCCACGGCCAGGAGGACGAACAGGGAACACGAGACGCTCACGAGGACCACCTCCTTCACGCTGAACTGGGTCGCAGGAGGAGCGTCTGACTGGCTCTTGGGGGCTGGGGGAGGGGGGGTGGTGGTGCCCTGCGGTGCTGTGGTCGGGGTTGAGGTGGTTGTGGTGGTAGGCGTTGAAGTTGTGTTTGGAGGGGTTGTGGTCGTTAGAGTCGTGGTAGTAGGAGTTGTAGGAGTTGTAGTTGTGGGGGTAGTGGTAGTTGCAGGCGTAATAGTGGTGGTTGTAGTCGTAGGAGTAGTGGCAGTGGTTGTTGGGGTAGGGGTAGTGGTAGTTGTAGTGGAAGTTGTAGGGGTAGTGGTAGTTGTAGTGGAAGTTGTTGTAGGCGTAGTGGTAGTCGTAGGAGCTGTGGTAGTCGTAGGAGCTGTGGTAGTCGTAGGAACTGTGGTAGTGGTAGTGGTTGTTGTAGTCGTAGGGGCAGTGGTGGTAGTCGTAGTTTCGGCCATTGTAGTAGCTCCAAGTGTGGTCGTTAGTACCGTGGTCCTCTCAGGGGTTGTTGCGGTTATAGCTGTGGTAGAAACCGCATTTACGGTTGTACCTGAAGATTTAATAAGACATAACTTTGTTAAGAAAAGGATTTTTTTTTTTTTTATCAGGACAGTTATTGATTACCATTGTTATTGATTGGTATCATTATTAATAGAATTACCTTTAATTTGTTTCCATTGTTACTATTTTCGCTTTTATTCTCATTTTAATTGCATTAAGATTTACATTAATATGGTCGTTATGGTTACAATCATCCTTATTATTATAATCATTGTTTTGTTTTTTGTTATTATCATTATCATTATTACTGTTATCATTTAATTATATACAACATTATTATTACTGTTGTCAGTATTATTATTATTATCATTATTATTATTATTATTATTTTATTATCATTATCATTATTATTATTGTTGTTGTTATTATTATTATTATCATTATCATTATTATGATTATCATTATTATTAGCATCACCATTATCATCATAATTATGATCGATATTACCATCAATATTCTCAGTCTCTTTCTATCTGTTTCTCTCTCTACGCGCACACACACACACACACACACACACACACACACACACACACACACACACACACACACACACACACACACACACACACACAAACACACACACACACACACAACAAACACACACACACACACACACACACACACACACACACCACACACACACACACAACACACACACACACACACACACACACACCAACACACAACACACACACACACAAACCACACACACACAAAAACTCACACACACAAAACTCACGCACATTACCTGCAGCATTCGTCGTTGCAGAAACAAGCAACAACATGACAGCCACGTGACACAGCATCGACGCCATCTTTGTTCTAGCAGTTGCAAAGGTGTTGGTGCAGTTGCAATCACCTGGTGGAGAAAAATAATTTTTTGTAAAAAAATAATAGTGGATGGTATTTATTTAATTAGTCATTAACAACATTTAATGAGCAAACAGATGAATGGAAAAGTATATTATTATCAATGGTTGCACTGTTCACTCTTAAGGTGATTTATGAAACTGTGTATATATGGATTATTAAACAGAAATAATTAATAATTAGAAGGTCACTAAAGAGAGTTAAAGAGAATTCACTCATAAATGTACACTGCCTCTTCCGTTTTCTATTTCACCGTGTTGACCGCCAGTTTCGAATCACTTGTCCGAGACACATGCGAGCAGCGGCGTTTTGCTTCGGACGCGAGAGTCGAAACGTGGAAGTGGAGAAAATGG